CCGATGTGCACAGTTCCAAGTGACACAATCACCAAGACTAAAGCAGGAACGCATTTCCTGTACGATATCAACTGGGAGCCCGACTAGGTGCAGCCAGGCTTGATCGAGGCTCAGCACTGCTTTGCCTTCAAGCATGGGTTCCTTATTCTCCGCCAAATTTGGCAACATGGCGGTACATAATGACTGCCATTATTTTCGACCGACTGACAAGGCTGAATGACGGCGTTGCGCTTCTAGATCTGATCAAAAACACGCATGTCCTTTGGGAGGCGTTGGCAAAAAGGGGGGGGTTACGGCTCAATGACTTCTTTTACGATCATGAGGAGTGCTCCCAACAATGGGTTGGAGAGGGAGTGTGTAAGGAGAATGATGCAAGGCGGGATGCGCGGTGGGGTTGGGTGCCATCAAGCATTCCTTGTGAATATGGGGAGATAAGGATGCTTGTGCGCAATCTCATGGGGAACTGTTGGAGCACAATTTATGTAAATGGGGAGTTCTTGTCTCGTTGTTTGGAGTATGAGATGGCGGAGTCCGTTGATGCTGCGACAGGGAGACGTCTGATCCCACTGCAGAACCCCGTGTTTTTTCGCCAATTTTAGAGGGGAGAGTTTTTTCTGGGGAAGACAATATTTGTCTGCGGCACATCAGAGGAAAGGGAGGTCACTTATGATGGTCTCTTCGTTAGTATATGGGACCCCGAGAGGACAAGGACGGAGAGGCTGCCAGATATTGACATATCTGCCACTGTTTCTCCACAAACGGAGTTGAGCACACATTCAATTGCGGAGATGTACGGGTATCATGTGAATTGGGTACCTGGTGTCCGTCATCCTACCATATTTGAAAACAAAGTTACGATGGCTGCCAGACTTCGAGGAGGCGAGTGGGTACCTATGGGTTGGATCCCTTCAGGTGTTGTTGAGCATTGACAATTCATGGTTGTCCTGGCTCGTGTTTCGATATGCAATGCAAGGGTGAATGACAGAGCGTTATTGCGCGAACATGCTAAGATGTGTTGGGATAATCTGAAGGTTGAGGACCGTCAGATGGTGCTGTGTGGATATGACGGTCGTGAGGACGATAACATGTGGGGACTGCAGGCTGCTGGCGCGAACGCATACGTCTTTGCAGATTATCCTGATAACTGTCTCAGCCTCATTCGCCGCAGACACGGGCGGTCAACACTTCTTGGATGGGTACCCGTTGTCTGTCCCATGCATTACGCCTGCGGGTCAGACCTGTCCATGGAGTTCAGAGACCCTCTGGGTGTTCCATTTCTGGTGACGTACTCTGATGGTTTGCTGCGGCACATAAAGTACATGGCAGGGGAGGACATGAAAGGGAACAATGAGACTGCGGGGATTGGAGAACCTCAGTCCGAAGAGACGAGACAACCGGCAGGCGAGGTGAACGGACCCCCACACGACGGCCCCGAGGGATGCGACGTTGACAGTCCGGTTGCAGACTCGGGTGCATGACGTGCTGTTGTGGGGAGGAGCGCGCCGGTGACCGGCACAATGTGCACCGATGGCAGCAGGCGGACGGGCCAAGGAACGAAGCAGAAGGCAACAACCAAACGCGACAACGAGGGGATAACGACGGTACGAGGGAGAGGCGGTCGAGGTAAGGGACAGGGGGGCGGGGCACCACTGGATGGTGGGAGGGGAAGAGGAAGGGGGAGGGGCCAAGGGGGGGCAGCAATGGATGGTGACACAGGCCGGAAAATTGGAGGGAGTCAAGGGCCGCCGAGGCGCAATCGCCGGCCCGGAGAGGCTGCTGTGGCAGAGATGCGCCGACTGCAACGCAGCACAAAACTTTGCATCCCTTACTGACCGTTTATGAGGCTTGTGCGCGACATTGTGAAGAAAAAAGAGGTCGCAACAGAGCCTGTGCGGTTCGGGATGCTTGCCATTCGAGCACTTCTGGAGGCAGCTGAAGCCTATGTCGTGCATCTTATGGAGAGCACGAACGAGGTTGCAATCCATTCGAACCGGGTCACGATCTTGCCCCGGGACATGAGGCTCGTTGGCGCATTGCAAAATCCGCGTTGGCAAGTTTTCACCAAAGGCATCCTCGATGAGAAAGAGTTGAACAAACAACGACAGGAGAGGAGGAGGGCGAACGCTGATGAGACGAACACACAACAAGCAGCGCCCGGGTCTACTGAACAGCAGGGGAGAGGGGAGGCAAAGGGGGCGTCAAAGAGAAAAGGAAAGCCGGTGAAAAGCAGGGCGCCTCAAAAAAAAAAGAAATGAGTCTGGTTGGAGGAGAACGGGTCTGTGTGTTTCCACAGATGTGTGTGTGTGTGTGCGTGCGATCATGTGTTCGGGTCATAGGTCCTCGATTTTTGTAATGTCGTCATTAACAATGACATCTGTACATTCATTTTCTCTAATCATGTCTTTGGTTGACCACGAACTAAGACGAAATTTGTAGACCCTTGTCTGCTGCTTCTTTTGTGTGTCTATGTCGTTATTGCTTTTATTGCTGCAATTCACATTAAGAGGGTGGGTCGGTGTGTGAGGATGCTGTGTGGTAATGACATCCTGTTTTCCTTTCTTATGTTTGTCCCGTTGTGCGTGCCTCAATGGTCGTGTGGACAACCGTAACGTATGGATGGTCACACTTGTTTCTCGACAGAAGAATTGGTGAGTTTTCATGCAAGTTAACACTTCCGCATACAGTGACTGAAAAATATCCTGATGCATCATAAGTCATGATCACATGTGCACAGACGCGTAGGCGCAAGAGAAACATGGTACTACTGAGTCATTTGCTAAATGGCCCCCACTACCCAATCGTGTGGTTGCTAAGTGCAGTCCATTTCAACAAGGACGCTCTCGCCATTGTTTGGTAAACGGCGCCCAGTACCCAACCGTGTTGAAAGGTTGGCCATACTTTAGGGATACGTCATCTAAAGTGCCATGCCTTGGCCCTGCTCACTCTGTGATGAGTGTGTTTGACTGTGTGTGGGTGTGAGCAAGTGTGTGTGACTCTGTGTGAGTGTAGGTGTGTCTGTGTGAGTGTCTTTGAATCTGTGTCGGTCTGGGTGAGTCCGTTTGAGCTTCATTCAGTCCGTGTCACTCTTTTTTATTCTCTGATGAATTG